GTATAGCGCAGATCAAGACACTCAAAAGTGTTTATTCTGAATGGGCAAGTCAGCTGCAAGTCGGTGGCACAAATCCAACAGTCCATCCCATCGACCCCATGATTACCACCAGCAGTGCCAATGCAACCGCTACGCTGCCAACCCCATATATCCAACCATGTCTTCGACGAAGCCCTTGAATTTCCGCAACCCACGTGCTGACGGTCGTGAGGCACCCGCAGAACCCTTCCATAATTCCTTGAAGCACCGCACAAGCGTTTGACCCGGATGTGGCGATGGTGCTCGAGTGTTGTAAATCAAAGGCCATACCGAGCACCGCCGTTCCAAAAATATTGACTGCGAAAGTGCCCAAAGGAAAGGACGGTATAACAGCATTCATGTGCTTAGATGCGTAGAAGCGGAGAAGACAACCCGGTGGTGCAAACACAAGTGGGAACACCGCGCGAAACCTCCAGTGTATGTCATTCCCAGGCGGCCAAATCGACAAAAAGACCGCTCCCAGCCAGCAGCCGAACCCGACAATGACGCCCAACGGATCCAAGACATTGCGACAGAATTTGAATGGTAACGTCGGCGTGACCGGTTGAAGTACTAGAGCTAGTTGTGCGCCGACTATCAACCCTGCTAAAGAGATGGCTGGGTGGACAATCAGGATGGCTAAGAGAGCCAGGAATGAGAAGCCACCATTCCTGTGCGCGACAATCGGATCCACATGGTATGGTACGGTCGGCGAGGGCGACTCGAGATCATTTGTCAGGGCCAAAAAACAGTCGCGGATGAAGGAGGAGAAGGACGTGAAGGAGCCACAGAAACCCGTAGCAAGGCCGATGTAGAGCGGAATGGTCTTTTTGACCTTGATATGGTCCGAAGCAGGTGCTCTGGGATCTTTTGATCCCCATTCCTCTCGAAACAGTTGGCGGTCTTCGGTGAGAAAGCCCAGGAAGAATGAGCCTCCGAGGTTGGCCCACAGAACTCGGCTCGCAAAGGGCGAATTCGGATACAGTGTGATGGCTTCGACCCCCAGGCGTGCCAACGTTCCAAGGAGCGAAAACAAGACCAACCAAGAAATAATGTATACCTCTGTCGCGACATATGAAGGGGTGCACTCTAGGGCCTTGGTCCCTTCCTCCCCCTCCCCCTCCTCTTCCTCATCCTCTTGTTGCGCCTCCTCTAGACTCCTGCGACGCGCTCCACTTTCTTCGTCAGTTGGCTTTTCGCCTGGTGCAACGGGCTCAGGTGCCGCCAGTTCCCCGAGTGCCTCGCTGCGATCTGATGTATAGCGTCGACTGAGTCGACGTTCCACGTCTTCTAGCGATGGGCGTCTAGGGTCCTCTGGTTGGGCTGGGGGGGGCACAGCCATCTCAGTCAACTCCTCCTCGTCACCTCCTCTTCTCTGCCTCTCCCCGGCCCTTACGACATGGTGATCGTGCATTTTCGCCACCCCGGGTAGTTCTTGGGGCTTTCTCGCACCGTTCGCTGGGCTTTCCTCAATAGAGGAACCCCGAAATTGATGGTATCGACTCCGATCTGACTCGGTCACGGAAGAATTGAGGCGTGAGGCGGTCGCTGCCCCTGCAAGACCATCGGCATCAATAGCAGGATCATGACAGAGGCGGATTGGAGAAGAATGAGAGTGTTATCATGTCCATGCTCTTCCCAAGGGTCCATAAGTACTCGTAATGTGTGAAAGAAAAGGCCCAGTGTTTGGGTGCAGCGGAGTAACTGCGGATTCGAGAGCAAATTGCCGTCCGAGCCGGCGAGGGAAAGCGTCGATTAAGCCTCCCATCGACAGATACCGTGACGTGCTGGAACAAAAGTCTGCGCCCTCATCCGTCTCCTACCAATTGGTTACTGGACCTTCATTCTGTCTTCAGGCACATATGAGTGGGTTGACCAAGGGTCTGGGAGTCTTGACTTCTCAACAACTTGAGCATGGACCGAAGAGCGTGTCCGCAAACACGAAGACGACGTGAGCGCTGGGCATCGGAATCCGCAGTCGAACATTGCAGAGCCAGAGCGCAATATGCGCCCCTTGTGCCCCTCTTCCCTGTTGCTCCTCCCCCCCACCATTCCTCATTCCTTGTGCAGCTATCGAGCTCTACTTTGGTTCGGCACCGTGGCGGGTGCTCGAAATGAGACTTGTGCAGTCCAGAGATTCATAGTCAAAAGGAAATACGGCCATTGTTGCATCCTGCTCCAAATTCTACGTACGAGTACAGTTACATCAGTACTTTCTATGCTTGCACGTCTATCCTACTTCTTTCCTCTTATCGCATCTCCCTTCTCTCCATAGATATGGCCTTGTCTCTACCTCCCAATGTCCATCTCTCAAAACACCCTTGTCTTCGCGCAAAGCTCAGTCAGCTGAGATCCAAGGGCACCAACGCTCGCGAAACAAAGACACTCGTCCATGAGATTGCCTTGTTGCTGGGGGCCGAGGCGCTGGCCCAACTCGATGTCGATCCGGATGGAACAGTGAGTCCCGTGTTTCTGTGTCCTTGGGAGCATTCGCGCTGATGGAGATCCAGACTGACCCATGCTTTATGATAGGATGAAACACCCATTGGATATGAGTATCCTTACGAGACCATCGACTGCTCCAAGCTCACCGTTGTCCCAATCCTGAGAAGCGGACTCGGTATGGTTGAAGGTATGCTAGTTATCTCCAGGAGGTGTCGCCTTGGGGACTGATGCATAGCGCAGCAATCCAAACTCTTCTGCCTGATTCCGTTTCGGTCCACCATCTCGGCCTGTTTCGCGAAAAGATGACTTTACAACCTGTTGAATACTATAACAACCTCCCTCAATCTCCGGGATCGGTGGCGAAGCTCGCCATTGTCGTCGACCCCGTGTGCGCGACAGGTGCGACAGCATGCGCCGCTATCCAAATCCTAAAGGATTGGGGTGTCGAAAAGATCATCTTCTTGTGCGTTTTGGGTGCCCTCCCAGGTATAGCAAGAGCGGCCGCGGAATGGCCAGAGGGCACACAGGTATGGGCAGGCGGTATGGACGATGGCCTGACCGATAAAGGCATGATTAAGCCGGGCCTGGGTGACATTGGTGATCGTCTTTTCCTAACCATAGGAAAATGATATGTAGACGCCCAGATTTCCTTCCCTTTGGAGCTGATGGAATTGCTGGCCAAGGAGGAGGTCCACTTTCCTGGATTTATCGGGTACCTTTGGTAGTCGCTGTATTGTGACTCTGCACCCTCTCTTGAATGTTTGCGGGCAAATGAAAGACCATCTTGTCACCTAAAGCAAATGAGCGCTTGATGTCCGAACACTCGTTCCACTGTGCCTTCTTGCTTCAGAAGCTCTCCAAGCCATCTCTTTGCACCATCAACCTCCTTCGCTCCAAATTTTACCAAGACGAAACCTCTTGTATATGCTGCGGTCCACAAGATACCATCTTGCTTCTCGCGTTGTCTAGCTTGCTCAGCCTGGTTGACTCCATTCGCTTGGGTTATGCGTTCGTTCGCCGCCCAATCCTGAGCTCCGATGCGAGGTTGGCTTGTAAACTCCTGCGTGAAGAACTCTCCCAGTTTCTTGAAGACAGGACCATAGATGATCAAAGTCCCAAAAATGCCCATGTTGTTGGACTTGTCGAATAGCCCCGTGCTTCCAAGTCCGTCCTCGTGGAGCATTAGTGCATCGCGAAGCAGCAGTCTCCCTTTCGACCGCTCGTCGAATTCTCTGACCTCATTCCTGCCTTTCCAACTCCATAGCGTCCAACTCTCGCCCCTCGCGCGGCGGCCTTCACTCACCCAGTCAAGCACCAACAGACTGCTGGTGGCATCTGGTTGCACATAGAAAGTCTGCTTCTGTTCGTAGACACTCTCCGCGAACGGCTGAGTCGGATCTGGCAGATAGCACAGAGAGGCTTGGGATCCAATCCTGACGTCCAGTTGTTGTCTGCTAACGACCGACCTCTGAGGAGATTTGAAGATCTTTGTACTGCCTTGCGTGACGAGAACAAGCCTGGTGGCATCCTGCAATTCGACTCTCAGACTGATCTGATCTCCTCCCACCAATCCGCCTCCATAGGTGAGAAAAAAGGCCACGGTCACGTGCTTTTCCTCGCTCGAGTGGTGAGGGTCAGGAGCAATGAGTTTGAGAGGGTATTGGTATGTACATCTCTGGAGAACTTGCCTCTCAGGTGGGAGGAGGGCCAGAAGGATTTCGCCGCTTCCCGCTCTGGAGGATGAGGCGGCGAACGGCGAAATTGGCAGAGACATACCTCGCATTCGCACACGCAACAAGCAAGAGAAGAAACGATCAGCCCTTCAAGTCCACCATTCTGTGTGACAGCCTTGGCCCTTGGATGCCGATTGACTTCAGGATTTGACAGAATAAGGGAACCAGTAGCTAAAAGCCTGAATCTCCCGTTGCAGGCTGTTGTTGATCAGGCTGCGTCTTCCAGATCAAGGGTACAAAATCTGTTGGTGGTGCAACCCACTTGCAGACTGGTGAAAAGAGAGAAATGGGAGGGATGGCATGGTGGGGTACCATGTGTCTCCCTGAGGATGCCTGTATGCGGGCCCCCATTTTCTTGCATTGATGGGCATCGTATCGCTACCTATTACCCACCTACTCGTAGGTACTGTACAAGTAGGTACTGTAGGTAGTTAGGTTAGGGAGCTTTAACTAAGTTGCAGCCCCCAAGACCACTAGCGGGCCACCGGGCCTAGGAACCTCGTACTGCCTACCTAAATCTTCCTTCAGCCGCCTGCCGCCACCTCTGCAACACTCCACTTCAACCGTCCTGCGCGTCACGCGTTTTCCCTGCTTGTTACTCGTCGTGGGAGCTTTACCAGGTAGCCAGTTCAATATCCCATTGCGCTTGAGTCGCAACCTGCGCATTTGCGCCCATCTACTTGTTCGTCTGCGTGACCTTCACCCCGTCCAAAGGCATCCCTTCTTTAGCCCGCCGCTGTACTCGGTACCTATCCGCCTTTCCGAACCCAGGAACGTGTCCATCCACCCCTCCAGTAGGGCCTCATGGAGCTCACCGCGAGCGCACAGCATAGCACACCACAAGCCACTCACGGTTCAAGCAGAGTACTGCGCAGACGCGCCATCAAGTCGCATGAACACCGCGACAGCAGTATTCTCACAAACGGGACCAGTAAAAGGAAAAGAGTATCTGAAGCAACCAACGGTGAAGAGGACGAAGACAGTGAGCCCGAAGAAGATGAAGAAGACGAGGACGAGGATGACGAAGATGAAGGCGACTCAGACGAGGAAGAACTGAAAACCCGCCGGCGACGACCGCAGAGGACAAAACTAGCGACTGCAAAACCAGCCACCAAGCGCACAAAGACAACCTCCAAACCGAGCACAACTCTCGCCATTCGCTCTGCTAATATTCAGAATAGACCAACATCCAAGGCATCAAAATCAAGCACAGCCCGCGCTCGACCCAGCCAAGCGCATCAGCAAGGACTTTACGCCGAAGTATTTGGGAGGGGCCAGACGCCCGAAGACGCCGCCTCTTGGTGGTTTGAAGAAGTACAAAAGGACAACGTCGAAGCTCTGCAAGACCTGGTCAACTTCATCTTCAAGTGCATCGGCTGCAACTCGGAAGTCGACCAACAGGATATTGAAGATCTGGACTCGGTTCCTACCAAGCTCGGCGATGTTATTCAGGAATATGAGCAGCAAAAGCCTCCAGATTACCCACTTATCTCAAAGCAGAAACAGTATGCAGGCTTTCAGGACGTGTTGGAGGAATTCTTCAGGGCCATCATCAGGATATTGCATACGTCCTCCGCCTTCTATGATCAACGCGAAATATATGACAACATCCACAACTGGGTTGCGACCATGTCAGGTGCGAACTACAAGTCCTTCAGACACACTGCGACGGTCATCTCCTTGGCTATGAGTACCGCGCTCTGCGAAGTGGCAGAGGAGTTGCAGGCCACCATGGCGACATTGAAGGCCCAGCTTAACGCCGAAAAGAAAAAGAAGAACCCCAACAAAGGCCGAGTCAAGGCCATTGAAAAGAATTATAGAGCTGCCGAGGATAAGCTTGAGGTTATCGACACTCAATTGCGAGACGCCTTTGATACCGTCTACGTCCATAGGTACCGAGATGTTGAGGAACGCATTCGCACTCTCTGTGTTGCTGCGCTCGGCAAATGGATGGTCCTCTACCGCAAAATGTACCTCGACGGCGAATTCCTGCGATATCTGGGTTGGGTACTGAACGATACAAGTGCCCATACTAGAATAGAGGACATCAAGCAACTGAAGAAGTTGTACAGCAACAAGAACAATATTGCCGCTCTCAGAGCATTCACTGATCGGTATCGGTCGAGGCTGGTGGAAATGGGCGCGAGGGATGCAGACATCAGCGTAAGGGTCGAGACAATTGAGCTGCTCGATCGACTCCGAGATGCGGACCTATTGGAACCCGATGATATCGATACCATTGGACGATTGATCTTTGACAGTGAACCACGGATCAGAAAAGCGGTTGCCAAGTTTTTTGTCTCCAATATCGAAGATCTCTATCAAGACACGATTGAGGAGTTCGACGAAACCCAGTATGATGCCGCGCTCCCGGATGTGGGAGACGTGAAAGACTTTGTGGCCCCCACGAAGTCTTGGATCAAGTTCAAATGTTTGGGGTCAGTCCTTGCCGGGTACAACAATGATGAAGAATCACTGGACGGAACGGCTGCTCAATCTTTGCCAATGAACTCGATTTCAGACTCCTGCTACACGCTGGCTACCCAGTCAATCTTCCCTCATATGCCAGAGTTGCACAAATGGGAAGAGTTGGCAGGTTATCTCCTCTTCGACCACTCTTCAATCCCATCAGCGGGCGACGATGATGACGTCGACTTCAACATTCAGCAAGCCTATAAGCTGAGTGCGGGTGAAGATGCCATCATGTTGGACGTTCTGTATGCAGCGGTCAAATCATATCTGCAGTCCATATTGAGAACCAACGCCACGAAAGATCAAATCCTGGAGAAACAAGAATCGGCAGCGCAGAATCTCACCACTCTCCTTCCTCATTTATTAAACAAGTTTGGCAGCACACCACGGGCTGCGTCATCCATTCTCCGCATCGAACAGCTGTTAGATATCGGATTGATCAACGAGCTACAGAGCGGCGAAGCCAGCTACGCTGCAATTCTTGATGACATCACCAAACAATTCACGTCGCACTCCGACAAACAAGTGCTCGCGGCGGCCAGTGCAGCATTCAGGAATGCTCGAAGCTACGAACCGAGCAAAGAGGCCGCCAATGCGAAGGTGCAGGAGATCTGGAGTGAATCCGTCGCAACGCTGGCCAATCTCCTCCGAGACAAGGCTGTCAGGACACGGGGTACGCTTGACAGACCTTCGCTTGCTGAGGTCGTGAACACAGTCATTCGTCTGGCCGAGCTCGCAGGTGTGCATGACTGCAGCCATGTCATTGAAAGCAGATTGAGTACTGGATCGTCAAGGAAGGGAAAGGACAAGCCAGGCAGCCAGAAAACTCTGCTCAGCCTGTTATTGCAGCTCTTACACCGGGGCGAGCCAGACGAGGATACCACGCCTGCCTTTGCGGAGCTGGAGGATCAATTATGCGGTGCCCTCATCGATCTCTTCTCGCGTTATTTCCGCTGGAAAATGTTCGGATTGAAAAAGGCAATCAACGCCAACGATGAGGCGCAGTTGTCGACTACGTCCTTGACAGAGTTTGCCACTACGCGAACAGCGTTTGTGGATAGCATCGCTCCAGTGATTCGAATGCGCAAGCCTCTTGACGTGGTGCGGTATCAAGCCATCCTGAATGTGTTGGAACTATTCGCCCTCTTCACCACAATAAGAAACATGAGGCCGGAGAAAGGTGACTTGGATGATGACATAGAGGAGAATCTGCGGGGTCTCATCACGTATGTCCCAGAGGAGATCGTCAAGGAGGTCATGATCACGCATGAAAAGATGGAGCAGTCTTTTGCGAGGCAGACGCATCGGAAGATCGAGTCAATCAGTGAAAAACGAAGGTCAAAAGGTTCAACCGGCAGGGACGAGGAAGACGAAGACGATATCGAGAAACCACCTGAAGATTCGGACGATGAACGGGATGACTTAGATGATGAAGAAGACGAGGGTGACGAGGATGACGACGAGGTAAAGAAAAGCAAGAACGCAAAGAAACAAGCGGCTCTCCTGGCAGAACAGAAGCTGTGCGAGTTGACAAGCAAAATCATCTTCATCCTCGTGGGTGGGGCGATCAGAGATGAAACGGCCGTGAGGGAGCGGTTAACGCTGAATCGTACGAAGCTGGGCAAGAACTACTCTGTGTTGGTGGGATATCTGGATGAGAAGAAAAAGTCAGCGAAGAGGGGAAGTGGGAAGAACCTGGCAGGAAAGGAGAAAAATAGCGACAAAGGGGGGAAGGGGACTGAGAAAGCAGGTAAAAAGCTTGTCTCGGAAGAAATGGTGCTGGAGGACGATGATATCGAAGATTCGGAGCAGGATGAGGAAGAGGCACAACAACAGCACGACTTACAGGAAGACGAGATTGAGGATCATGGGAGTGAAATTGACGAGCATGACGCCTGGAAGGAAAAGGGAGATCAAGGAGAAAACGAGGAAGACGACGAGATCATGGGTGATTAATGGGATGGAAGGGAGTCTCTCGCTGTCTCTACCTCCTTGCTACGATTCGGATTCGGAATTTGCTATTGCCTAAAGTACCTATCTGTGTGTTCCAGAGCGAGTTGGGAAATTCATTCCCAGGGAAAATGATGTCGATCGGGTTTAGAATCCAGTCCAAATGTGCACCATACGCGATGGCAACAATATTAATAATGGTGTCAGTTTACATCTACATACGTGCTCATATCGTGCTTCTCTAACCTGGAAAATTCACATGCTACGACTACATAGACACCCATAGTCCAGGTATTTTAGGTGCCGTGAATTGGGTTCAACAGGGTTAAAACATCCTTCCGTGCTACTGATTCTCATATTTTGTATTCTCTTTTCTACGCCGTACACGACTATCGATCGGCCTGTCTGTCCCGTTCGTCTGGCTGTCTGACGAGGTTTCTCTCCTTGACATCGCCGGAGAATCTGCCTAGGTCTCCCGACTTTTTGTCCTTTGGTCAGATTGGACGCGACTTCTCCGTGATGCACGCGCCCCAACATTTCCCAGATTGTTTGCACGGTCGGTTGATCGAAAGATCCTGCACCCCTGCAACATGTAATTTTCTCAGTAATACTAGTACAGCATGTGAAGCGCCATATGCAAAAAAATCTTTTCGTCAATGCCTGCTTTTCGGTGCGATGCTGACGTTCCATCATTTCTTGTGCTACTGTAGTTTTCTCCGTCGATTCTCCATCCAATGCTTCAAATGCTGTAACCCTGTCGAAGTCTGGCAGGGTAAGCTCCTCCCCCTGAGGTTCAAAGTTAGACCCCAGGCTGTTCTCGGCGAGCGCGACTCTACTCGGCCTTGCCACGACTCTTTGGCCTTGCACCACTCTTAACCCTCCTGGCCTCAGGTCGTTGAATGTGATGGCTCGGGATCCATTCTTCGTTGTATGCTTTGCCGCTCGAGACAGCTGGGCCATCAGAGTCCGACGTAACACCACTATCAACCTTCTTCGCCACATCGCTTCTCTTGCCGCCCTTAACGGCCTTACGCTTCTTGGGAAAGTAAGGGACAATCCAGATGGTATAGAAGAAGTAACCGACTCCAACAGCGCACGCGAGCAGGAAGAAGTACAGGAAGAGACTGGGCCATGGTATTAGTCAAGACAGATGACAACGGGAAAAGGGGGTATGCTCACAGCTGAGGGTCAAAGATGCTCGCGTCCGGCTCGACAACAGTGACAGTGCCATTGAACGCCTGCAAAGTGTAGAATGCATTCTGCGAACTAATCACGGCAGCCAAGTTGAGTCTCAAATCTTGTGGGTGAAGGTTCGTCTGGAAACGGTAGGGCAGTGTCTGCTTTTCGCCCGGCGGGATCTCGACGGCATATTGGGCCGTAGTGAGGTTTCGAACAATGCGAGGATTCGTGCCATCGAATGTCCATAGACTCCCACCGACGAATTGAACCGTGACCGGCTCGGGCTCTTCGTTTAGAAAAGCGAGACGCGATTCGTACGGTTTGCCGTTCGTGATCTTGATGCCGAAGATTTCCGCGTCAGGGAAGGTTGCCTCGACCGAGACGGCAAGGGCGGGAGATTGAGAGGGATTTTCGATCTCTTCTTCCACCTCCTAAGCACCACGTGTTAGCAGGTTCAATGGGATAGTGGGGATGGCGCAGGTCGGTAGCTCACCGCATCAGCTTGGGCGAAGATGCTTGTAGCCTGGAAGCCAAAGAGGAGGAGAGCGAGATCCAAAAAGCGACCCATTGTAGCGCAGTACAGAGGCAGTCCAAGGGGGAGGGAGAGGTGGTTGCAGAAGTGGCCAGTAGGCTAAGAAAAGAGACAGAGTTGTATTTTTGCCATTGGGCTCAATCGGGGCAAGGTGAGCTTGTTCCTCTCGCCCTCGTCACCCTCTAGCGGCGGCGGCTAGGCACCAGTTGGATAGTCATCTAGCCGCCACGCTAACCATACTAGCGATCTTGGTCATGTAAGCGCCGGCTCACGCGCCAAAAGCACCTTGCTGAAGCCTGCGGCAGCCTGCGGGCCACTCAGCACCCATACCGCCTTCTTGGGGCTAGTAGGCTGCCCACTGATACCCACCGATGCCCACCAACGCGTCGCCCCCAGGAAAAAAAAGGTCGGCCATGCGCCCGTAGTCTGTACTTTGACGTGCGCTTCGCTGCATTTGCCCATGCAGGCTCTCTGTTTCGCATTCACCGCCAACAAGCATAGCAACACAAATCGCACGACTCAAATCTCCCTCGTCACGCTGTCTCTTTCTCTCCTCCCTCGTCTCTCTTACCGTCACATTTTCACCATATAAATCCCCAACCATTTTGGTCCGAAACGTCTTTGACTCCCACGCAAATGCCCGACATGGCGCGTTACGATCCGTTTTCACCTACTTTCGACCATCCTCTACTTAATTCCAGCCCAGATTACAGTTCACGAAATGGTTCCTTGAGATCTAGTCGTCCCATCGGCGACATGAACGCTGTCACAAACCAGATGTCCTTTCGCGAACGCAATAAACGCCTCAGGAGCCTTGAAGAGGAGAAGAATCAGTTGATCGAGGTATATATGCCATATTGGCAGAGGTAGCCACAGCAGGCTAATAACAAATCTTAGGAATTGTTGTACCAGCTTGACAGCACCCAGAATCAGCTTGATCAACTACAGTTCGAGAACAGCAGAGAAGCCCGATATAACAGAGAGGGTCATCTGCGAGAAGCCGCTCTTCACGAGCAAATGGTTCAGGTCAAGGCAATCATGGTACGACTTCAGAGTGTCAATCTCATGCACGCTAGCAGCTAACTTCTCTAGGACCGAAATCCCTTCATCACGATCCTCCTCGATGGCGATAGTATGATTTTCACAAAAGAGTTATTGTCCAGAGGTGAAAAGGGTGGTAAAGAGGCGGCAAATTTGATCTTCGATGCTGCGACGGCCTTTGTTGCAGAGCATCTCCACCATCTCGACTCTCCCAAGATCCTCACCCGAATTTATGCCAACATTAAAACATTGTCCGACGCCTTGACCAAACTGAAAATCATCGACCGTCCGTCGTTGTTCGACGACTTCGTACGCGGCCTGAACAGCACTCAATTGTCCTTTGATTTTGTTGATGCCGGAACCCGACCCGATAGCACGAGAGAAAAGGTCTTTGATCAGTTCCGGACCAACCTCTATGATTGCCATTGTCACCAAGTCATTCTGGGATGTTCTAGTGACGGCCGTTATGCAAAACTGCTTGAGGACACGATAAAAGATACCACGATACTGAATCACATCACTTTGCTTGAAGGTGTACCATTTGAGAAGGAAATTGCCACCTTGAAGGACAATTTCAAGACTGCCAAATTTGACAATGTATTCTGCGTGACGAAGCTGGCAGTCCCATCTGGGACGCCCAAGGGACCACTGCAAGCAGTCACAGCTACCTTTCCCGCGCTGTCGCGTGTCGAGTCAAATGGCACGAGTGGGTCGGTCTCAGGTTCAAGTACGCCTGCCCTGACCTGGGCCACGTTGACCGCGCAACCTTCGGGGTCCGCCTCGAAAGCGCCCAGCACCACCCGGACGTCGACACCAACTTCAATCAAGAGCCCGGAGGCTGTCGTTGCGAAGCCCGTGACCAGGACGATCGAGAGAAACCGCCATGGGCAACGCGTCGACAAAATCGACTCCAGCATTCCGAATCACGAAATCCAGCGCATCAAGAAACTCAAACTGTGCAACATTTTCTACCTCCAGGGCGCATCATATTGCACAAGTAACAATTGTTCTCATTCACACACTTACCCTCTTTCAAAGGGCGAACGTAACGTGTTGAGAGAAGTGGCCCGCATGACACCTTGTTACTACAAGCTAGATTGTACTGACCCCGAGTGCATCTACGGGCACCGATGTCCGCAGAATAAGCCCGACGAGCCAGACTGCTGGTATGGCGAGGATTGTCGGTTTTTCGGATGGGGGCATGGGATCGATACCAGGGTGGTTAAGACGACCAAAGTTTGAACCGACTACAAGTTGGTGAGGAGTGGCGGTGGCGATGGCATTTTTTATTCATGACTCTGGTCTCTTATCTCTCGGCGGATGCTTCGCGTCAATAGCGATGTGCAATTGTTTCAATCTCACTTTTCTTTTTATCCTTTCCATGGTCTTAGAGAGCAGAAGCCTTCCACGAGGCGGTCAGCATCAGCAGTATCTGGAATGTGATTTGAGGCATGGTTTTTCCTCAGCAAAGGTCAGATCTTGTCTTGCAAGCGGTGGCAATTCCGAGATTCTCTCCCATGGATCCTAGGTACATTTCGGTCTGGAAGAGTCACTCAGTCGGGCAGGAGGGAGGAGGGCGCAGCGCGATAATATGTACTCATATAAAATGGTTTCTTCGGGCCAGAAGGGATAGACTCTACTTGTAGAGAGATGGGGAGATAAAAAGACCTTCAGCCCAACCCCGACAAGGAGGGAGCCGGAGCTGGAGCTGAACTTGATTTCGGCGAGTTATGAAATACCCGCATCTATCCCTCCCTCCCTCCCTCCATACCGTTGCTCTGCTTGTGACGGCGTGAGTTGATCCCTCCATGACACCCGATGTCTGTCCATCCACCATCCATTCATTCATCCAGCCAGCCAACCAGCCAGAAGTGTGTGTGCGTGCCTTCTTGCTCTGCCCTTGGGCACCAAGTCACACATTTCCAAGTAAGCAGCTCCGATGTGCACTCACAGCTCAGCTCAACTGTCAGTCCGGTGTCCATCCCGCGATCCTCTTCCCTCTTCTTTCACTTTCTCTCTTTTTTATTCCACGGACCCTCTCCTCCATTCCAAGACCACATCCGGGGCATCCCGCCAGCATTGAGCTTTAGGAAGCGTGGAAGCCAATTCTCGGGTTTGGCTCACTTCCTTGGGGTCCTCGTCGCTGTACAAGACAAGGGCCGTTCCGTATCGATCACTTTCGGTCAAGATTGAGAAGGACATTTTTTGTTTCTCTCCCTCTTTCCCTTTCCATGGAAATGAGAATCCTAAAGGG